GGTGATTGCTCAGATTAACCGCCATTGATTATATATAACCCAAAAGACATTATTTATGTATGCTCATTCATGAACAACACACAAAATTCAAATTCAGATTGGAAGAGGATTCAAATTTGAATCAATGTGAATTTTGAATTCCAACGGGTAGAAATTAAAATTTTGGATTAAAATATTAAAGACCTATTTTAGGAAACTAATTTTCTCCAAAAAGATAAGGTTGGACATGCATCTAGCTGGGTCGGGCAGCAACGAGCACATATGTGGTCAAACCCAAATCCATCTGGGTCATAGACCGCCACAAATAGAAGTATCACTTTAATCTGTTTGCCCAGAGAACCACACGGTGTTGTGTACTCTCTATTATGAACATTTTTAAAGATGATGAATGTAATGAGTTTGATAATTACAAATTTTGCCAATACAAAATTCTTAATACATAATGAATTTGGGTCATTTATAAATACAGAGGTTAATATTCGGAGTAGTCACCATTGATCATATGTAATTCAGAAAACACCATTTTATTGTCTGCTCACTCATAAACAGACACAAAATTCAAATTCGGACTGGAGGAAATTTGAACCAATGCAAATTTTGAATTCCAACTGGTAGAAATTAAAAATTTGGGTTAAAAAATTAAGAACCTATTTTAGAAAACTATGAGACCCAGACAAGCATATCATATCATTTTATAAAATATTGCATGTTAAAGTGTAATTTATTAATATGAGTGTGGGGTTAAAATTTTGATAATTAAAACCCTGATAATTTGAGTATAACTTCAATTGAAGTCATGCCATAGGTAAAAGCGGTGTAGCATAATCAAATAGTCGAAGGAATAACTTAGAAAGTCGAGAAAGTCATGCGAACCAAATATCCTCGCTTGTTCCATATTCGTAATTCAAATTTTGGGGATGAAATTGCAAAGTAGAGAAAATTGTAAGACCCAAACACGCATGACAAACATATTATATTTGTAACAAGCATATTCGCATGTAACATGTATGCATAGGATTGACAACCAAAATATAATTAAGAGAAATAATACGAGACCTGAATTCGAACGATGAATATTTTAATATTCAAAGCTGAAGTATAAATAATGATTATGAGGGAGAATTGTTTTATTTAAGTGTGAATTAAATAGTAATATTGACAGATAATATGACTTTATTGTTTAATGTACGTTAGCGCATGTGGAATGAATTTGGTGGCAAGTATGTGATATCAATTTATTGTTATTAAAACAAATTGTGTTAGTATATACAAGAAGGGGATTAAAGGTTTGCAATACAAATTATATGGGTTATAAATATTTTGGAAATATGTATATAAATACATGGCTATGTATAAATGTGGAATTAATTTGGTGGCAAGTATGTGATATCAATTATTGTTATTAAAACAAAATGTGTTAGTATATACAAGAAGTGGATTAAAGGTTCGCAATACAAATTATATGGGTTATAAATATTTTGGACATATATATAAATATATGGTTATGTATAAATATGCATGCAAAGGAAAGGTGGGTATATGCACATAAGAGACATATGTATGGTGTAGGAAGGGGAAGAGGGAGAGAGGCTTGAACTCTTGATCTCAAGAAAGTGAAGCCTATATAAGACAATAAATAACATTGGACAAAATGCTTATTAGCATAGTGTACATATATATATAAATTGTGACAAGAACATATATATATATATATATATATGGTACATTTATATAAAAAGTCATAATGACCTTTCCATTTAAAAAAAAAAACTTGTGGATGACATTAAGATATATATATATATATATAAAGACATGAAGAGCTCTCCACCAAAAAAAAAGTACGTGCACTAGAAAAAGAGGGAGGGAGAAAAGTGACGGTTGCAAGGGGGAGGGTGTGGGCTCGTCATTGTGGACTTGTAGAAATATAAAGAAAAGTAAGGAAAGTGAAAGAAAAAAAAACAACTGCACAAAGTTCTCTCTACACTTCCATGTTTCAGCTAAGAGAAAAGGCAAGGAAGGAGTTTCTCCGAAAAAAAAATTAGTTAAGGTTAGGAGGGCAAAGGTAGAGGATTTGTGGTAGTGCTTGGTGGTGTAGGAATGGTGCAAGAGGTAAGCCATGTAACTTCCTTTATCTCCTCTTAGTTATATAAATTAAAATTTTAGTATAAATATTGGGTATTGTATGTAGTTCAAGAATGATGTTTTGTATGTAGTTGGGTATTGCATGTGGGTTTAGAGCGAAGGTTGTTATGAATGTGCAATATTATGGGTATTACTTGAAAAATTAATATAATATTTGTGTGGGTGTGCGAGTATGTTAGGTATTGCATGTAGTTCAAGAATGATGTTTCGTAAGTAGTTGGGTATTGCACGTGGGTCTAGAGTGAAGGTTATTATGAATGTACAATATTATGGTGGTGTTTGGTTCATCATGGGAGAATTGGATTGAATTGGATTTGAATCCGAACTCAATCCAATTCAATGCAAAGTGGACCGGATTGGAAGATTATAAAGATGAGAATCAAATCCTATCACATCTTTGGATAGGATTCATTTGTTATGTGGGCCCCATTAACATGTGAAGATAAAATACACATATCGATACCACTCAAGTCTAAGTCGTTATTTGTTTATTTATAGACAAGCTGAAGTTGTGTGTTTAAAAATAAAACTTAATTTTTTTTTTTCAATAAATAGCAAAATTAATCCAAACAATATTAAACTTTTTCAATGACCCAAATACAATTTATTTTCATGAATTTTAGGATATTTTAATATTATTGCCTGAATTAATACCACAAATCAGGTCAATTTAAAATATGTTGCTTTAATTAAAATGTTAATTTTTTTTAGAGTTCATATCTAAGTTAACAAAATTTTAAATGTAAGAAGACCCAACACCACTCAACAAAAGTGATTTTTTAATGAGACTCAAACCCTTTCATTTAAACTTGACTTGGACCGAATATTTTCACACATTTACTCTCAAAATTTATGTAATTAAATATTGAATGTCAGAAATTAAGTAATATCTATTTAGAAGAAAAATTATAATGTAGTATATAATATAGAGTGTAATCAATTTTTTAATAAATTTTTTTTCTGTTTTGTTTAAGTACACAAGATCAAAAAATTGGAAATTTTTTTAATTTATTTTAAATACATGCCAAATTTTATTTTTTTGTTGTTTCAGTAATAAAAAATTAAAAAAATTCAGCAAGGGAGAGAGATAGAGATGGAAGTCAAATGTTGAGGGCAATAATGTCAAATGACATGTGATTTCATCTGTGGCTTCATCCGAGTAAATGAATCTCACATACTAGCTGAGTTTCATTTATCCACTTCAGAGGGTATTAGTTCAAGAATTCATAAGGCCGAGTAATTCAATCCCCAACGTTTATCCCATTGCATTTTTTGGATCCAAAGCTGGGATATGTTGGCCCCCGGTATTTGAATCCAATCTAACATGTCCTATATATCCTTATCCTTCCAAACAAACACCACCTATGAGTATTGCTTGAAAAATTAATATATAATATTTGTGTGGGTGTGTGAGCATAAAGTGTTGTCGCATAAAAAAGTAGAAAGAAAAGAATTGTTGAATGTGAGTTAGATTTTGATCAAGAGAGATAATAGTCTAGTGGGTAATTAGAAATATTGTGAAATGTTCTTAAAATTGCATAAATCCATGGATATGAATAATTACAAAAAAAAAACATATAAATTTTATAATGTTATAGGAAAATATGTAAACTCAAGTACTTATGTGAAGTTTATAATCTTATGAGCAAAGATTTAATTTGGGTGTAATGGGTTCGAATAAATATTGCCTTAATATTTTTGAAAAGATTAACTCAACTTGATTCGAGTTGATAATTTTACTCTATATAATGGGTTAAGGTTGAACCCACATTCGAGCCCGACCAAGGCAGGCGGCAACGTTCGTGTGTGGTCGAACTCCAAGTCCATCTGGGTCCTCGACCGTTCACAAAATTGGAGTGTCCCTTAAAAACCAATTATCATAACAAACTTGAAGTATATATGATCACGAATTTTTTTTTACCAAAATAATGTCAGATTGATGTCAAATCTCACATTTGTTCAACTTCTATTTTCACATTTCAAAAATATCACTTTAAAGTCTATTTTCTCATTCATCTCTTACTCTAAGTGAATGTACTATTTTATTTTTTTCATAAAGTAGAACACGAACTCACAAAAAATTGCAAAAAACAATGGGTATGTCTTATTTTAATTTAAGCTCAAAGCCGATAAAAAAATCTATTTTTGTTTGACAGTTGGATTTGAAGGCAAGTTGAAGCTCAAGCACGCATTTGAATTCAGTTCGTGTAATCACACAAGCTAAGTTCAAATTTGGAAGAAAAATAAGAACTTAAACAAATGTAATCTTGTTACAATCATAAACAATTTCTCGAAGAGCAATGCTATTAACACTTAAAAATTTGATCTAATTTGCTGACCTAATTCATTGTGACCTTTGGATAGACTATAAGCCTATCTAATATTGAAATTTGGTGTTGATCCAATAATTTTTATTAAGTCACATCATTATATCAACAAATTAAATCAAATTTTAGGTCCAAATAACATTATTCTTTCCCGAAACACTTTTAATGAACGAACTGGCGCCGATGGTTTGTCTGAAAATCGAGCATGAACGGCAAGCAATTCGGTTGACAACGTCATCGTTTTGATCAACCCATGAACACTGCTGCCTTTTTTCATCGACCCCTATCTTCACCAAAAATTTCAAGCCGCCAGACCCTCATTAAACCCCTCACAAAAAATGCCTACTTTTTTCAACATCTCCAGTTGCCATGACTCTCTCTTCTCCCAGGCTCAACCCACTGAAGAATTCAATTATATCCCTCCTTCAAACCACCAAAAAGACACCCCAAATCTTCCAAATTCAAGCCCAATTGATCACCAAAAACCTCATATCCGACCCTTTTGTCACAAGCCAATTACTCAATTCCATAATGTCAACCACTTCTAACATAACTTACGCAGAGATTGTATTCGCTCACATTGAACAAACCAATACATTTGTTTATAACACAATGGTCAAAGGCTATGTGTCAAGCTCAAACCCAAAAAAGGCCTTGCATTTCTATGTTAAAATGAGAAAAGATGGCCTTGTGGGTGATAATTATACATACCCATTTGTGCTCAAGGCCTGTGGTATGACGGGTGGGTTGTGGGAAGGAAGAGAGATTCATGGGGAGCTTATAAAGGGAGGGTTTGATTGGGATGTATATGTGAGGAATGGATTGATTGGAATGTATTGTAGGTGTGGCGAGATGGGTTGCGCTACGGTATTGTTTGTTGGATTCCATTGCAAGGACCTGGTATCTTGGAATTTCATGTTGGGTGGTTGTGTTGGGTGTGGAGACATGGAGGAGGCTCAGAGGTTGTTTGATGAAATGCCTAAGAGAGATGTGGTTTCTTGGTCCATTATGATTGATGGGTATGGGAAGGTCTGCAATTTTTTTTTTTTATTTTTTTTTGGGAAAGGGAGGAGAGGAGAGGGAACTTGAACTCTTGACTTGTGATTTCTTGGTCCATTATGATTGATGGGTATGGAAAGATCTGCACTTTTTTTTTTTTTTAAAGAAAGGGGAGGAGATTTGAACCCTTGACCTTAAAAAAGTAAATATCATTGGATCAAAGGTCCATTGGTATGGGAAAGTCTGCAATTAACGGTTAGTAAAAATACCAAATGTGTGGAGAAATTTTGTTATTTTGGCGCCATTTTAAAGTATGAGAGTTGTTTAGAATGTGAAATGGAGGTTTCTTGGATATTTATCATTTTCTAAATCATTTTTTGGAAAAGAATATTCAGGCATGATGAACCAGAAAGATTTGATCTTTTTTTTCTATTTTGTAGGATAAAGGTCCTACACGGCAATGTCAATAGAGAGTCTAGTTTCGTGATATAAATACTTTCTCGAGAAAGTTTAACGTCATGGAATTCGCTCTTGTATTCACTATAAAACCCTCACCTTACCTAACGCAGTCTTGGATTTTTGTTTCTTTTGTTGTGGGCATGTTCCTTTCAGATATATCCTGACATATGCATTCTTGCCTCCTTTTTTCAGAAAATTGGTGACGTTATTAGAGCTCGTGCGCTTTTTGACACCATGCCTTTGAGAGATTTGGTTACTTGGCATTCTATGATATATGCTTACACAAAGGCTGGAGATATGATAGCAGCTCGCCAGTTATTTGATGAGATGGAGGAGAAAAATGTGGTTTCTTGGAGCATTGTGATAGATGGCTATGCTCAGCATGGAAATCCTAAGGAAGCATTGAATATGTTTAGGCAAATGCTTTGCAAAGGTGTGAAGCCAGACAAGATATCTATGGTTGGTGCAATATCATCTTGCGCCCAATTGGGTGCACTGGATCAAGGAAGATGGATTCATATGTACATGAAGAAGAACAGAATGCAGTTGGATGTTGTTGCTAAAACTGCCCTGGTAGACATGTATATGAAATGCGGATCTATTAATGAGGCTTGCACAATGTTCAATAGCATGATAGAAAGAAATGTTATTACTTGGAATGTCATGATTGCCGGACTTGGTATTAATGGCTTAGAGAAGGCAGCTTTGGAATATTTTGCTCGAATGGAAATGAGAGGAATTCGAATGGATGATTTGATTTTTGTCAGTGTCCTTACTGCATGTAGTCATGCAGGTTTTGTAGCTGAGGGTCTCAATATCTTTGACCGGATGAGAACTCATGGGATTGAACCCAAGCTTGAACACTATGGTTGCTTGATTGACCTCCTTGGCCGAGCAGGAAAATTAAATCAAGCTCAAATTGTTATACAGACCATGCCTATGAAACCCAATTCAGAATTGTGGGGTTCTCTTCTTTTGGCATGTCATACTCATAGTAATGTGGCTCTTGCTGAAGTTGTAGTGGAGAGACTTGTAGAGCTCAAAGCTGATGACTCTGGAGTTTATGTTCTTATGTCTAATATTTATGCAAATGCTAGAATGTGGGAGTGTGCCCTGAAGATACGAAAATTGATGATGGAAAGAAAAATGAGGAAGGAAACTGGTAAGAGTGTAATGGAAGTAGATGGTGAAATCGAGGAATTCATTAGCGGTAAAAAACCTCATATTCAATGTGAGGAAATAGAGAGTTCTTTGGAGTCTAGCGAAGGTGGTAATGTTGGCAGAATCCTGGAATGAGTCCATGCAATAAAAAAGTCCTGTTTGCAATTGATGAAGTTTGTTGAACTCGTTCAAAATTGAGTGATCTGAAGATTGTAGAACGCGGTTATGTTTACAGAGGCATATTTCCTTTGGGGACAAAAGGATAATTTGAAACTTGGTCTTCCAAATTTGAGCATAAGCATTTTGGTTTTGCCATTTTTTGTGTGCTTTAGCAAAAATGCCAGGGTCCCAACATGCCGTCACGTACCACCAAGTGGTTGATTCAGTAGATAAGAATTTGGATGTCTTCGTTCAATGCTTGAGTTTGAATCTCGCCAGTTACAGCAATTTGGTGGAGTTGAGCCTACTCTTCAGCATTCAAAGTACGCGGTAAAACCTTAGTTTTGACCCTAACATAAGTGTGGTTGAGTCTCCAGGAAATTTGTTGTGTGGTGCTGAAATGCAATGTTTCCTGACAGATGTGAAATGACCTATTTGCATATTTATTTATGTATCCAAAGAAAACGTGCCGACACAATACGGTTCACATTTCATTTTACATAGTCTTTGGGTTCAATCTTTTGGGTCGACTTAGCCGCTGCACTTATCAAACCTGGGTCAGGCCATTGATGACTGAAAATGCTGGCAACTGGAAGATGAAGCTTAGCATTCTTGAATGTCATGAGTCTCATGACAGAAAACTTGGGTCTTTTATATGGGTTAACAATGGGAGAAACATGTGAACGACAAATTGCAAGGAATGAACCCTTCAGAGTTAAACCCCATACATCTATCGTCCAAACTGCTTTCTGTGACTCACCATCATCATCAGCTCCTTTATAAAGATGGTGAATCATTCTGTCATGACATATCAGCTCCTTTATAAAGATGGTGAATCATTCTGTCAAGACATAGAGTCAGAGATCGGTTCCACACCAAAAAGGTTAGCCGCTTTTGGATTTATGGGACTCAAACCACACCCATCCAGGTTCCTCTCCTGGCGCCACAAAACACACACAGACACATATGCATGCATTCTCCCATCTTTATCACTTTTACAGTGAAGCCATGGTTGTATCTCTGTAATCTGCTTTTCTTCTATACCTTTTAACAATTTTTTCGTGTTTAAGAGTCGAGGTTCCAGAGAATTCTTTTGCAACACCCAAAGGTTATTCACGATTGGTGTATGTTGAGGGAACGAATGCTGGCAAAACTAATGAAAGTGAAGGCATAGCAACTGAAAGTAAAGAACAATATTGCTGTCTCGATCAATAAGTTTTTCTTACCCCATTTATAGTTCAATTTTTATACTTGTTCCTGTGAAATTAATTGTGACAACTTTTGTAATGAATCATATCTAACACTATCCATTGAAGCAATGTATAAAGGGTATGCAATCATGCATTTAAGTCATAAAGGCAACAGAGTTATATGCTTGGGAACTAAAGGAATTATCAGCTTCTTATGAAACACAAACTAAATTGTAAGACAAATAACTCAACTTAAATGAACTCAAAACACTAGAATATGGCATTGCATCAGCAATAACAACATCACAAATATAGTAAGGAATATTTCATCCAGAGCTCTGAAATATAATAACCAAACAAAAATTTCAAAGCTCTACAGCTTGAGCAAAATAAATAACACTTCAACAACCTTAATTCAGCAACTGTGAATTAAGCAAAAATAAGCCTCCAACCGCCCAATTACCTAAGATTTAAGAATCTGAAGACTTCATAGCATCCAACACCAATTTAGTATGTTCCCTAATCAACTCCAATCGCTTGGCGTACAACTCAAACTCTTCCACCCTCAAATCCTTCCACCTCTCCTCTAACTCCTTTGCCTTCGTGCTCCCAATCATGCCTATTTTTTCTTTCGCAAAATTTTTCAAACCCTCTGGCAATGACAAATATAGAGACTTCTCCAACTCCAACGCCTCATTCAATCGCGGGTGCTCAGACCAAAAATCCTTTTTCTCAACCTTCACTTCATCCTTTGCTTCCTCTCTCACCACAATCTCCTTTTCTTCTTCGTTAGCTGAACCCACATTGTTATTGACTTTACCAATTTTTCTAGCCTTCCCATTGTTACTTCCGGCATTCTCATCCACTGCATTACTACTCCCACCACCCCATATCTTCTTTGAGAGCTCAAAGGACTTGTGCTCATGAGTTCTAGAAAAAACAGGGCCCTCTCCATTCTCACCCTTCTCCGCGTTGTTTTGATATTTCTTCCTCAACCTCCTAATCTTATCAGTCAATTGATTCCTCGAAACATCAACATGAAGAGATTCCTTTATAAATTCATGAAATGCACCCAAATCTGCGTAAGGGTCGGCCCCTTTTTTGGCCTGGTAATCAACCATTCCCTTCAAGATTGCAATTTCGTCGTCCTCACTCCACAACCTATTAATCCCAGAACCCTTTTTCTCTTCCACAGCCTTAACTTCTTCAACACTGGAGACCTTACTCTTCTTTTTCCTAGAATCATTGCCATTGTCTTCCTTCTCCGCATGGCGTTTTGAAGGAATGGCCAAAACAGTAAGCCTCGTGGCCTTAGAAGAATCGGCCATTGTCTTGGAGGAGACAATTGGCTTGATGGTGAAATCAGAAGCACTAGGGGATTGTTGGGTCTTGTCAGATTGGGATTCCGAATCAGACACGTCATCGGAATCGGATTCCGGCGAAGATTTGGGATTTGGGGTTGGAATGATTTTTTGGATCGAGGGTTTCTCGTTGACAGGCTGTGGATTTGAAGGGATCTCTTCTTCTTCTTCTTCTTCTTCTTCTTCTTCTTCGTCATCAGACTCTTCCTCTTCTTCTTCTACTTCAGAATCTGCTTTTCCTGGTTTGTTTCCTTGTACTTGATCAGATTCTTCTTCTACTTCTTCATCGTCGTCAGGGCCATCGATGTAATCTTCTTCTCGTGATTCCTCAGATGAAGCAGAAGGCGGCTCATCTAGATGATTCGAGCGCTTTGGGGCCATTCCCTTCCCCTTGAAGAGAGAGAAAAAACAGAGCAGTCGAATTTTCTTCTATAGAGAGAGTAGGGTTTAGGGCGACGAAGGGATTGACAGAACGGAGTATTATTATCATGGTTAATTATAAATTATACCCTAAAAGATCGTTTAAATTTTAATTTGTATCTTCAAAGATTAAAATTTTTAATTTATACACTCAAAGATAGAAATTTATATCAATATGTACTCCAAAAATCAAAATTCTCAATTTTTACCCTCAAAGATAGAAATTTGTATCAATGTACACCTCCAAAGATAAAAAAATCTCAATTTACACATTTAAAAATAAAAATTTGTATTAGTGTGCACTTAAAATTAAATTGATAAATTATACCTAGATCCCCTTATATTTGTTACTTAATCATTTAGACCCTTTTAAATTTAAAATATTACTCTTACATCTCATGACGTTTGTACACGTGTAACACATAACTCATTTTTGTTGGTATCTGTTAATATAACAGTTAAAAAATATGATTTTATCATAATAAAAAATTATAATTTCATATTACTCTTTTTTTTTATGGGTCCAATATAATTTAAAGTTCAAAATCAAGTTTATAATTTGAATATCTAATAGAATAAATGGTTACACATTGAGTGATATATTACATTATAAATAAAAAATATTATATAAATATCTACATTCTATTGGTCGCAATATTAGACAAGATTCACCACTAATGCAATACAAAAGTTATATTAGACTTGGTAAAGAAAACTCATCTTCTTCATTCCTAACTTTATTTCCAATAAAGAATGTATAGTTCTTGAGAATAACTCGTTTGATATTGTCCTTACCCATATTAAACTTGACTAAGTAAGGGAAAAAAAATAAAAAATAGAAATAAATAAAAAATAGAAAAATGACTTCCAGGTTATTTCCGGGACAAGGATCACCCGACCCGAGACCTCCAAGGTGGATTCTATTATTAGTCAGCTTCAATGATCAAAATTTCGTTTCGGTATATTATTTCGGTCACCTTAAAAATGAAAACGTTTCGACGTGTTTTAGAAATATTTTGACCAGTTTCAGAAATATAATGAAAGAAATAAAACAAATTAAGAATTATTTTTTTAAAATATTGATCGCAAATATATCAAAATATCGTGAAATAGCTAAAAATATTTCAAAATAATTGTGTAAATACATTAAAATATTACAAAACATCTCGAAACATTATGGAATACCTCAAAAAATTAAAATTTCGATTCTATCGCTGATTCGTTTCGGTCTACTTGAAAACGAAAACGTTTCGAGTGTTTTGACTGATTCGAAACAAAATTTTGATCATTGGTCAGCTGATACCAAGCTTATTAAAAATTAATAACTAGGTATATCAAAATATGATACAATTCGTTAATTGAACACCACATAAAATTAAAGGGTTTGAATTTTTTTAAACCACCCGTTTCGTAAACAAATAGATCTGACACAACACGACTAATAAATGAATTAAGTACAGGTGAAGCCAATCAAAAGAAATACAAGATACGACTCGCATATATACCAGTTATACTTAATTCATACACAATAAAAACTCGATAAGACACAGTTCGTTGGACATAAATTAATAAAAGAATCAAAGATGAGTAAAGTGTTTTTTTGACACGAATTAACTAATTTGACACAAACACGTCTCACTCGACACGATTGACAGACTTAATTACTATTAATCAATTAAATATTTTAGTGGGAAAAAAGGAGGTTAGAATGGAAAATCAAATCATACATCATCATTTGCTTGTGTTTTCTTGACTATTTGGGGAAAAATGTATGTATACGGAAAAATTATTTTTTTATTTGTGGAAAAATGTATGCATACAGGAAAATTATTTTTTTTTTATTTTTTATTTCATGCTAATCAAACAAATAAAAAATTTCTCTTAATTTAATTTTCTACCATTATCTCGACAGGCATCAAGTAGCAGAACACGTCCCAAATAAGTTTTTAACACGTAGCATCTTCTGGTTGAAACAAGAAGTACAAAACTAAGAACTGAAACTACTTTCAAAAAACAGAACTAAAGTACAAATTCTGCTGATTTGCATGACAACCTGAGACACTTTTGAATCTTATTGATATGTTTACTTCAATAGAGTAGAAAAATCTCTACTTAATCTGCCTCTCATTTCATGTTCCAATTTGAAGCCTGACCACCGTCCGATCCCTTCCAGTGCTTCTGTGCTTGAATGAAGCTAAGGCTTAGGTGGGTTCCTGACGATGAACTTGTTTTCTCATGAAGATGCTCATACCTTGATCGATTCCAATAGAAAACAGAACAATCAGACTCAATAACAATTGATGAGAATACATAAAAGAATTGCGTTTTTCTTTCTGTATAAAGCAAAGAAGTATTAAAGTTATAGGATGGTACGATGAGTAGAACAATTCACGGCTTTTGATTGTTAGATAGTATGTTAATAGATCAGATTTTGATCGGAATCAGATTAGCCGGATATAAGTTCATATTCTGACAAAAAATTGGAATCCAAACGAATTGGAATTGAAATATAAGTTGCTAAAATGCAGTGTAATTGAAATGTATGGATCCGGTTGGATATTCCAATTAGATTTGGATTGGTCAAAGCCTACAGGTTATGAAGCAAGGGCTTTCACAGAATTGAAGTTCTCAAAATACTCCAAGGTCCAAAAGTCACTAACTACAATAAGGTGAACATATACAATAAAATTCTGGTACCTCTTTCCACTTAAATCTGCAGACTCATCAGTGATTGAAGCAGCATCCTCCATATCTACTGTAGCCGCCTGCAAACTTATGCATTTACCCAGTCAATATATATTGATTCCTCCCATTTTTGGTCGACCTCAAGAAATCAAGTTTAAAATAATGCTGAGTTAAATGTCAACATGTTCTTGTTCTTCTCAACATTTATTTTACCTCAAGGCTTTCAGGTTGTTGTGGTGCAAGCCGGTTACCTAGCAAATTGGCCTGCTGATAAGAAAAGCAAGAAAGATTATAACTTTCAATTCATGTGTAGAAATGGAACCAAGAAACGAGGTGAGGGGAGGGATAAATGGTCATTATCCAGTTTGGTCTCCCAGAATTGAGGGTGATAGGAGCAGTGAACTAGATATAGGCCTAGTATTTGGTGTTATACACTCACTTTTGACAGCACTATACGTTGGATCGCATTGCCAAGGAATTGCTGGTACACTCCAGCTTCAAGAACAGAATGATCTTCTCCATATCTTTGGATCGTAAATATCTATCAGGGAAAGAAATGAGAGATGACAGAATCACGTTAATCATTAAGCAAATTCATCCCCAGCAAGTAAAAGCTTTATCTATAT